TTCTCATTTGTTTCACTGATTGAATTCCCATGCTATTTATTTCTACACTTGAGCTAATTCCTATAAAAAGTGAAATTCACTATTTCCCAATTTACTATAATAAAAGACCTTTCAAATTCTTCTGACTTTTTGAGGTTAGCTGATTTCTTGGGTTTACAACTGCTCAACTACAATACAGTTAATGTGATATGAATCTCCAGGTTCATTTAACCGTGTTAAATGTTTTCATTTGCTTCTGTTTCAATTATTCTCATGTGACATGAAAACTAGATTAAAATTCCTGTATGCTTTTGAATCATATATATAAATATTTTAAGAAGTTTATTAGGTACAAAACTTTAAGTCATCAAAACACTAGGACAATTATACCTACAAGAAACTTTGAACACTTTATAAAACACAGCCACATGTGACCTTCAAAATTTTGTACTTTTTTTTTTTTACTAAAATGAGAGCAGATATTAGTATGAGAATTAAACATTTCTTTTTAACATTTTTGAGAGTGAATCTATAACTTGCTTATTTCTCAGGCTGTAGATAATTGGATTTAACAGAGGAATTAGGACAGTATAAAACAGAGAGTCCATCATGTCTTGATCCTCTGTTTCTGAAGTTGCAGGGCGCACATACATGAAGAGGAGAGGGCCATAGTATAAAGACACAGACAAGAGATGAGCTCCACAGGTGGAGAAGGCTTTCTTTATGCCTTTAACAGACTTCTTTTTTAAGATTGTAATGAGAGCAAATGTGTAAGAGTTAAGAACAGTAATAATGCTGAAAACCTGTATTGAACCAGACAAAATAAAAACCATTAGAACATTAATAGAGGGGTCAGTACAGGAAATCATAAAAAGTGGGATAATGTCACAGTAAAAGTGATGTATTATGTTGGTGTTACAGAAGGTCAATCTGAATATAAGAACATCATGAATTAAGGCATGAAAAAAGCCACCTACAAAACACAAGATTAATAGCCGGGTACACAGAGCATTGCTCATGATCACTGGATAGAGTAAAGGTTTGCATATGGCTACATAGCGATCATACGCCATTGCTGCCAAGAGAAAACATTCTGTAGTTCCACCAAACGCAAAGGAAAGGAATTGTATCATGCACTCAGAGAGAGATATCACCTTGCTCTCAGCTAAGAAGTTGACCAGCATCTTGGGGGTCACTGTGGAAGATATCCACGCATCCACAAAAGCTAAACTCCCAAGGAATAAATACATAGGGATGTGAAGGTGAGGGTCATTCCAGATGAGAACAATCAGGCCAAGGTTCCCCACTATGGTAATGAGATATATCACCAAGAACACCAGGAACAAGGGGATCTTCCACTCTGATTGATGTGTAAGTCCTGTGAGAACAAACTCTGTCAGCAATGTCGCATTTTCTTTTTCCATGTCCTCATTGCACTTCCCTTGAAATGAAATG